AAACACCCTTATAAATATGAAAAAAAAAAAACATTGGCAGAATACTCGATTAAATATTATATATTAAAATTATTTATTTATATAAATAAATCATAATAGAGTATTAAACAGCATTCAAGGGAATAGTGCTTTAGAAGAACATCATCGTGCCTTAGACTATAGCAGCAGATCAGCTTTACAAACAATAACAAATCTCTGTCTGTTAGCTTGTGTTTACCGTTGCTATGGTGATTCAGTGTTCGCAAGGGAATGCAGAGATGTAAGTTGTTATATTAATAACAGTAGAAAACTATTAGATTTATATATTTTAATGTTTTAAATGCGTATTAACTGTGAAAATTGACCATTAATAAGATGCTGAAATGATTTCTATCATATATTTTTAATGAAGGATTGAGAGAAAAAAAACAAGATTTGTATCTGTGAGTGAAATCTGCACACGAGTGCCACCTGGAGTTTTCCTGGTTTTTCGCTTTGATTTTGAATGATTTCCTTGGTGAGTTCGTGATTTTTTTTATTATTGTTTTCATTATAACATGATTTAAACTAGTGTCAAAAATGTGTTTCATTAATTAACCATTTGTTTGGTTCAGTAAAAACACAGTATTATACACAGTATTATACAAGTGATTGTGTAAAGTTTAAGTGAGAGAGTAAAATGCTGTCATTTGTAAAAAGAAAATGCCAAATAGGAGAGAGAAATAGGAAAAACACAGAAATTCAGCAGAGAGAAGCATATACATGGTCATTTATTGTTGCTGTTTATTTACAAATATGTTAAGCTGAGATAATGCATACACTGTAAAATGCTAATGGTTTTTTTTCTCCCCTTTGTTTGTTTGCTTGTGCATCTTCTTCTGGTTTTTCATCGGTGAGATGTTCTATTAAAGTCAGTTGCTGAATGTGATCTGCTCTGCATTCAAATTAATTGAAGTGTGAACTCTTTTTTGGATTTGGATTGTCTCAACTTCCATCGGTGCGTGTCTAATTGTGGAGTTGGACTGGCGAGCCTCCCATTAAGTGAATTTTTTGGATACACCTGTTGGAAAGATACAAAGTAAAACCTATTCAGCGTCATGGTAGGAGTGTAAATTTACAACACACTCACAAGTGCAACATCCTGGATCTCTGGAACTGAATGTGCAACCTAGTTGTTTTGCAAAAGAATCTTTTTGAGTGTTCATCACCTGTACTGGACTTTTGGGACATTTTGAAATGTTTTAAGTGAATGTTTTATTTTCATTTTTATTTTATTTGTACATTGTTTCATTGGAGTGTTCATTTGTTGCAATTTTTGAAGCTTTATAGAGAGAAGTTAATTGGTTTAAGAAGGGAAACCTTGATTATATATTGAATAATAAAACAATTTTAATATTGTATTATTAAGAGGGTTTTGGACGATGGCATTATATAATGGCATTATACGATAATTATATGGCATTATACGATGGCATTATATAATTATATATTATATATATTCACAACATGGAGGTTTATTAATAGGGTATGTCCTATTAATAAATTTGTAGGACATGTAAGCTCGTATAAAGCAAATAGCCTAAATAAAGAGATGCATGGATTAATGTAAATAAATAAATCTTTTCATTATGGCATTGTTCAAAATGGCTTACCTGGCTTTTCCAGAGGTCCACCTGAGTTGTTTTACTGGTTTTCTAATATTGCAGACTGATGCTTTTAACTGTATTCTAAACAGAAGCTCACTCTGAATCTTTTTAGCAGATCGCTATTGTGGATTGTGCTGCACAGCCAACTTAAAAGGGACTGCATCAAAGACAACCCAGGTGGCACATACTAAAAACAACAAGAACAAAAAGTATTTATAAAAAAGTAAGAATTTTTTTTTGGCACAGCAGGGTCTTTCTTCAGGGCTCGTTGGTCAAGGGGTATGATTCTCGCTTAGGATGCGAGAGGTCCTGGGTTCAATCCATGGATGAGCCCTACAGCTCAAAAAAGCAGTGGAACTTTGGCATTTCTACATTAATTGTAGCACCTTTTGCTGTGACTTTAGTTAAGGAACATTTAGTGGACTTGTAATTTAAATTAGTTTAACATGTACAATTATACAGACAAAACCGTCTGCTACCCTCAGGCAGATGGTTCCGCAGCATCTGGTTACGCACCAGCCGGCTAAAGGAAAGTTTCTTCCCTCAGACTATCAGGCTGATGAACACTTAACACACAGGCTCTTCCATACCCTCACTGCACACCATCGATATGTAGCATGCACTGACCTTTAGCCAATCCATACTTGAAACAACACTGCCTACAACTATGTGGACACCTATTCATTGTACATATCGTTGTCAATTTCACATTGTCATTTTATTTGTGTTGTTTGTACTGTCGTTGTATTTGCACTGTCATTGTTTTTGCACTTTCTGTATTTTTTTTACTGTTTGTACAGATAATTTTTCATGATTTTTGGTGAATTTATATGATTTTTGGTGATTTTTCAAGATTTTTTCATGATTTTTCAAGATTTTTTCATCTTTCATGATTTTTCGTGATTTTTCAAGTTTTTTCATTTTTCATGATTTTTTCATTTTTATGAATTTTCATGATTTTTCATGATTTTTTCATTTTTTAATGATTTTTCAAAAATCTTTCATTTTTCGTGATTTTTCATTATTTTAAAAAAAATTTCATTTTTCTTGATGTTTTAATGATTTTCTTATTTTACGATTTTTAAAAAAATGTTCATTTTTTGTGATTTTTTGCGATTTTTCAAAAATTTTTCATATTTTGCGATTTTTCAAAAATTTTTCATTTTTTGCGATTTTTCAAAAATTTTCATATTTTGCGATTTTGCAAAAATTTTTCAGTTTTTGTGATTTTTCAAAAAAAATTTATATTTTACGATTTTTCAAAAATTTTTCATTTTTTGTGATTTTAAAAAATTTTCATATTTTGCAATTTTTCAAAAATTTTTCATTTTTTGTGATTTTGCAATTTTTCAAAAAATTTTCATTTTTTGTGATTTTTCAAAAAATTTTCATATTTTGCGATTTTTCAAAAAAATTATATATTTTGCGATTTTTCAAAAAACTTCATGTTTTTCAAAAAATTTTCATGTTTTGCGATTTTTCAAAAAAATTATATATTTTGCGATTTTCCAAAAAATTTTCATGTTTTGCGATTTTTCAAAAAATTTTCATGTTTTGCGATTTTTCAAAAAAATTTTATATTTTGCGATTTTTCAAAAAATTGTAATATTTTGCGATTTTTTAAAAAATTTTCATGTTTTGCAATTTTTCAAAAAATTTTCATATTTTGCGATTTTTCAAAAATGTTTCATTTTTTGCAATTTTTCAAAAATTGTTCATATTTTGCGATTTTTCAAAAAATTTTCATATTTTGCGATTTTTCAAAAATTTTTCATTTTTTGTGATTTTTCAAAAAATTTTCATGTTTTGCGATTTTTCAAAAAAATTTCCATATTTTGCGATTTTTCAAAAAATTTTCATTTTTTGCGATTTTTCAAAAATTGTTCATATTTTGCGATTTTTCAAAAAATTTTCATTTTTTGCCATTTTTCAAAAATTGTTCATATTTTGTGATTTTTCAAAAAAATTGCATTTTTTGTAATTTTTAGCAATTTTTCAAAAAATTGTCATGTTTTGCGATTTTTCAAAAAAATTTTATATTTTGCGATTTTTCAAAAAAAATTCAGTTTTTGTGATTTTTCAAAAAAAATTTATATTTTGCGATTTTTCAAAAAAATTTCATTTTTTGTGATTTTAAAAAATTTTTCATATTTTGCAATTTTTCAAAAATTTTTCATTTTTTGTGATTTTGCGATTTTTCAAAAAATTTACATATTTTGCGATTTTTCAAAAAATTTTCATATTTTGCAATTTTTCAAAAAAATTTCATTTTTTGCAATTTTTCAAAAATTGTTCATATTTTGCGATTTTTCAAAAAATTTTCATATTCTGCGATTTTTCAAAAAAATTTCTTATTTTGCGATTTTTCAAAAAAATTTCATTTTTTGTGATTTTTTGCGATTTTTCAAAAAATTTTCATGTTTTGCGATTTTTCAAAAAAAATTCATATTTTGCGATTTTTCAAAAAAATTCATTTTTTGTGATTTTTCAAAAAATTTTAATGTTTTGCGATTTTTCAAAAAAATTTCATATTTTGCGATTTTTCAAAAAAATTCATTTTTTGTGATTTTTTGCGATTTTTCAAAAAAATTCATTTTTTGTGATTTTTAGTGATTTTTCAAAAACTTCATTTTTGTGATTTTTTTGCGATTTTGTAAAAAAATTTCATTTTTTGCGATTTTTCAAAAAAATTTCATTTTTTGTGATTTTTTGCGATTTTTCAAAAAATTTTCATGTTTTGCGATTTTTCAAAAAATTTTCATATTTTGCGATTTTTCAAAAAAATTCATTTTTTGTGATTTTTTGTGATTTTTCAAAAAATTTTCAAGTTTTGTGATTTTTCAAAAAAATTTCATATTTTGCGATTTTTCAAAAAAATTCATTTTTTGTGATTTTTTGCGATTTTTCAAAAAAATTCATTTTTTGTGATTTTTAGTGATTTTTCAAAAACTTCATTTTTGTGATTTTTTTGCGATTTTGTAAAAAAATTTCATTTTTTGCGATTTTTCAAAAAATTTTCTTTTTTGCGATTTTTAAAAAAAATTCTTTTTTGTGATTTTTTGCGATTTTTAAAAAAAATTTATTTTTTGTGATTTTTAGTGATTTTTCAAAAACTTCATTTTTGTGATTTTTTTGCGATTTTGTAAAAAAATTTCATTTTTTGCGATTTTTCAAAAAATGTTCATTTTTTGCGATTTTTAAAAAAAATTTCTTTTTTGTGATTTTTTGCGATTTTTAAAAAAAAAAAATATTTTTTGTTATTTTTTAAAAAAAATTCATTTTTTGTGAATTTTCAAAAATTTAAATTTTTTTGAATTGTTTATTATTTTTTATTTTTTGTGATTTTTTGTGCTTTTTCAAGATTTTATCATTTTTCATGATTTTTCTTGATCTTTCAAGATTTCATTTTTCGTTATTTTTCGATGTTTTTTCATTTCTCGAGATTTTTCGTGACACTGAAGCGGTTCCAGCAGTACATTCTCAGCAAAGATATAGGCTTTATTTTATTTTTTTAACTACTTTATTAAAAATATATATCATGCTGGCAACATTTCATGCAAACTACAACTTGTAACTCACAGAAACCCCCAAAGGACAGGCCTCTTCCTGCAGTGGCGGCCAGCTCCAGCTCATCGGGTTCTAGAGGTGACGGTGGATGCGCAGATGATGCGCTACTTGTGAAAAACCCTCAATGCTTTTGAAGCACAAGGTGCACAGCAAATTCATTGGTGTTCAATTTTTAAGTGTTGTGGTAATTCAGAGTGAAGTGTTAAAATTCTAGAGTTATATAAAGTGTCATACACTAAAGCTCCAGCAGATCTTTATGACACACAGACATCAAGAATCAGGATATGAACCTCAACCATGGTTGCTAAAAAGAAAAAAAGCTGCATATTTCATGCTGGGTGCCAGCATAGTACAAAGCTCCCAGCATGCATTGCATCATAAATAAATTATGCAGCTTTATGTTGTTACAATCTCTTTCTTTTTATTTATTTTGTGTTGTGTTTGGGAGGTAATATTTCAGTAGTTTTTTTATTGGTTTTTATTTTTTTTGTTTGTCACCATTATTGAGATTCAAAGACTAATTGTTGATGTCTGTGTGTTTTTAAGTGCTGCCATAGATCAAACATTCACATTGTAAATCATGCTTTTAAAGTCATTAATTGTTAAAGCTTCAGTGGTTTCATTTATGTATTTTATTTATTTCACACACATAACTAATTTGACACTGAATTAGAAAACAAGCAGGAGAAGATGGCTTTGATATCAAAGTTAATCTCTTCAGACTGACTCTGACATTTTCTTTTGAAATTTCATGCTACATGTAAGAATAGTGTGATTAGCACTAATAATTATAGCATCCAAATAAAAAAAAAAAACCATTTTATAGCAAGAAGTTGAAGAGCCCTACTAAAGCAGACTCTGTCCTCCATCATGGTGACTTCAAATGAACAACAGAAATTTCATAAAGAGCTTTTGTTCACATGACAGAATTAAAGCCAAAGCTCAGTAATAAGTGAAGCTCCATGATGAGTTGTTTAATGTGATGAGTTGTTTTAAAGATGTTGAAAATAAAAATAAATTTTATTGTGTAATTTGTTTATTTTTTTTTTATTCATTATTATTTTATTTAAAGTTTTATTCTCAGTTAATTTCATCTTTGGTTTTGGCTACTGCTGCCAGTATTTTGATATACATTTTTCATATATTTTACACAATAAGAGTTTGCTAATTAACACTCTCTGAGTGGTAATTTTTTTAACACTTTCAAAAGTGTTATTTTAACACTTTTTATAGTGGTTCCCATATAAACACTGAGGGAGTGTTAATTTGAACTCTAAGGTAGTTAAATCTACAATCTAAAATTTGCAGTGTGTATAACCCTTTATTATTGTCTTTAATTGTTTATGTACCATAGCATAATCAATGAAACACAACATCAAAACACTGTGCTGATGAGATTGTCTTCTTGCTGCTTTGACACTGACTTTTGCCTATCTTGTGTTTTTTTTTGTCCTTCTTTAGCAGTTGAGGACAAAGGCAGTCTGCCAAAGAAACCACTCAGCTCCTCTGAAAGACAAGGTATATCACATAATAAATGTCACTTATTAACATTTATTCATACTGTTGCAGCATGAACTACAGTTGAGGGCCCTCCTGTGAAATATTTATTCAAGCTAATGGAGCAAGGACATTTTCACAGTACTTACGATAGTATATTATCTTCTGAAGAAAGTTTTATTTGTTTTATTATTTATGTTTTTTTATTGGCTACAGAACAAACAGTGTTAAGCTAGTTAAGCCTTTACTTTCTCAATCTAAATATGGTAGCACATCAGAATAATAGTCCTTTAGTTAATCAATTTACTAACACTAAGTGTCACCAATCTTGTGCCGCATTTTTTAATTACAGTTCAACATTAATGCATTATTAAAATCCAAAGTTGTGCTTGTTGACATTACTTAATGCACAGTGCATTAATGAACTAACGTTATTTAACTTAAACATTAAATCGTTAACAAAGATGAATGAATACTGTAATTAATGTATTAAACTTCTAAGTCATGTCAGTAAATGCATTAACTAATATTAACTAATGGACTATTACTCTAAAGTGTTACCTTAAAGGGTGACACTTTACAATAAGTTTGTATTAGTTAATGTCAAAGCATTTACTACCATAAACAAGCAATGAACAATACACTTAATGCAGTATTTGTTCGTGTTACAGTCATCCATGCCAACTCACAGTCCATCAACTAAGCATTAAATATTATTTTAATAAAGCATTAGTACATGTTGAACTATGATTTAAATTGTTGTACAAGCATTGTTCATAATAAGTTCATGTTAGTAAATACATTATCTATTGAAACCTTATTGTAAAGTGTGACCCAATATTATATACTGTCATCATGGCAAAGATAAATTATAAGAAATTAGTTATTAGAACTATTATGTTTAGAAATGTGCCTGAACAAGTCCTCTCTCCATTACACATAAATTGTGAAAAATAAACTCAAATTTAACAGGGGGGCTTATAATTCCGGCTTCAACTGTATGCATTAATAAATAAAAGTCGTCACACTAAGACACTGTGTTCTGATAATCACAACTGTGCTCATTTAGGAGCCGGGGAAGCAAAGAGAAGAAAACGTTCCTGTGAAGATCTTTCACAGAAGCCCCACTCAGACTCTCCACTGTCTGCTGTAAGTTCATCGTTTGTACATCACAATTAGGTGGTGTATATACTGCTGAATACAGTTTTGTGAGCATAAATGGGAAGACTGTGCAAAAAGTATGAATATGTCAATGAAAAAGGTTTTAACTATTATACTTACTTTGTTGAAGGCTCCTGCATCGACTTCTTTATTGGGGGCTCCTGCATCAGCCTCTTCAGTTCCTGGCCAGTCTTCTTCATCGGCTCCTGCATCAGCCTCGTCAGTTTTTGCCTTGGCTTCTTCATCGGCTCCTGCATCAGCCTCATCAGTTCCTTGCCAGTCTTCTTCATCGGCTCCTGCATCAGCCTCGTCAGTTTTTGCCTCGGCTTCTTCATCGGCTCCTGCATCAGCCTCATCAGTTCCTTGCCAGTCTTCTTCATCGGCTCCTGCATCAGCCACGTCAGTTTCTGCCTTGGCTTCTTCATCAGCTCCTGTATCAGCCTCATCGGTTCCTGCACAGCAAATTCATTGGTGTTAAATTTCAAGTGTTGTGGTATTTCAGAGTAAAGTGTTAAAATTCTAGAGTTAGATAAAGTAAAATAACCCTCTCGGCGTTAGAAGCTGATTTGCCTCCTCCTCACAGAGAGTAACATGTATCTACCTTTGTAGAAAACCCTTGTATTTGAGAAACTAATCAGAGTGTCTGAAATCTCGCCACACCCTCATTCACCTGGCCCTAAATTGGTCAATTAGTTTAGTCCACTAGACAGAGTGAATGACCACAAATAAGTGAATTGAGACACCTGCTGTTGAACACCTGCTGTTAACAAACACAATCACTGAAGGAATAAGAAATTGAAGGAAGAAATAAAACTACAGACACAGCGTCACACCAAACCAACTGAATTAAAACAGAGGATTAAACAACTCCATTAAATAATAGCATAAGCAGCTTCACTGATTACAGTTTGACTTCATTTCTGTAAGAATATTTGACAATGAACAGAGGTTTATATTTTTTTATTAAAAATATTTCATTTGACCTCACCATCATGGAGATCAGAGGCTGCTTATTTGAGCTCTTGAAGCTTTACGCTTACTTTCTAATGGTTCTCTGACTGTTATAGCTGTGTTTCTAATACTCATCAGCTATAGCAAGAAAGGTCAAGAGAAACTATATTGTTAATGCTTAATTGTTCTAGATATATTTTCAGGTGTTTAATAAATTGATTCATAAAAATTAGCAAATGTAGTTGTATTAAAACTGCATGGGACAATACTTCTGGCAGTCTGCTGCTCTTCATAGAAGATTCAACAAACAATTAGGATGCAATTAATAATTAGAGTGTCATGCACTAAACATTCAATCTCCAGCTTGCTCTTTATGACACACAGACATCAAGAATCAGGATATGAACCTCAACCGTGGTTGCTAAAAAAAAAGCTGCATAGTTCATGCCGTAATGCATGCTGGGTGCCAGCATAGTACAAAGCTCCCAGCATGCATTGCAGCATGAATAAATTATGCAGCTTTATGTTCTTACAATCTTTTTTCTTTTCCTGTTTTTTTGTGTTGTTTTTGGGAGGTGATATTTCAGTAGAGAGTTTTTTTACTTGATTTTTATTTTTTTGTTTGTCACCATTATTGAGATTCAAAGACTAATTGTTGATGTCTGTGTGTTTTTGAGTTCTGCCAAAGATCAAACATTCTCATTGTAAATGTTTTTTTAAACCTGTTATACGGTCATTAATTGTTGGAGCTTCAGTGGTTTCATTTATGTATATTATTTTTTTCTCACACATAACTAATATGATACTGAATTAAAATACAAGCAGGAAAGAATGGTTATGATGTCATAAATAATTTCTTCAGACTGACACTTTAATTTTCTTTTGGCTTTCCATGCTATATGTATAAATAGTGTGATTAACACTAACCATAGCAGCCAAAATAAAAGACGTTCATAGTAAGAAGTTGAAGAGTCTGACTAAAGCAGACTCTGTCCTCCATCATGGTGACTTCAAATGAACAACAGAAATTTCATTAAGAGCTTTTGTTCACATGACAGAAATAAAATCAAAGGTCAGTAATAGGTGAAGCTCCATGATAAGTTGTTTAATGTGATGAGTTGTTTTAAAGATGTTGATAAATAACATTTTTTATTGTGTAATTTGTTTTATTTTTACTGATTATTATTTTATTTAGAGATTTTTTTTCTCAGTTGATTTCATCTTTGGTTTTGGCTTTTTTCTTTCCTTCAGTGATTCTGCTTGTTAACTTTTGTTCATCAATAGTTCTCAATCATTCTTTAATTAGACACTTAATTGTCTCATTAACTTCATCACTGTCTGAGTGTTCAGCCCTCTGTAGGGAGCACACTAGTGAGGATTTTGCTCTGGAATTTAAGGCTGAAGTGTGTTCGAATGAAAAATACAGACTATGGGATTTGTTTTTAACAGAAATATTCTGGAAACTGTATTTACGAATGTAAAATGTTGAAAACAGCAGATTACTGGCAACCACTGCTGCCAGTATTTTGACATAGATTTAACAGATATTTTACACAATAAGAGTTTGCTAATTAACACTCTGGGTGTTAAAAATTTTAACACTTTCAAAAGTGTTATTTTAACACTTATAGTGGTTCCCATATAAACACTGAGGGAGTGTTAATTTTAACTTTAAGGTAGTTAAATCTACCAAATCTAAAATTTGCAGTGTGAGATCGATAAAAAATACAGACTGTTGAATGTGTTTTTAACAGAAATATTCTGTAAACTGAATTTATGAATGTTAAAAACAGCAGATTACAGGCAAACACAGCTGCTGGTATTTTTATGTAAAATCTAAAAATGAAAAAGAAAAAAAGAAAAACAGCAAAACGGTTTTTGTGTCGCCATTGTGGAGGATAATAGCGTCTCTGTTCAAGTCCAAGATGAACTGAGAGTATTTGATGTTATGCTGTATCTTCTTTTGTTTAAAGGTAACTGTGTAGTTACTAATGCAGTCAAAATCTGTTTGCTAATTGCAATCACACATGAACACATTATTGCATCTAAAGACTTTACTTTTTTTTTCTACTGAGCTATGATTTTGTAAACTGAACATTGTATTAGTTCATGAAATATGGTTATTTTTTGTAAATTTATACAGTTCTACAAAACTTCCATGTTTTTCACAGAAAGATTTTGGCAACCGCAGCTGCTGGTATTTTTTCAGAAATTTAACAGATATTTTACACAATAAGAGTTTGCTAATTAACACTCTCTTGGTGTTGACAATGTTAACACTTTCAAAAGTGTTATTTTTAACACTTATAGTGGTTCCCATATAAACTCTGAGGGAGTGTTAATTTTAAGTCTAAGGTAGTTAAATCTACTATGTAAAATTTGCTGTGTAGTATATACAATAAATTACGAAAGATTTTTCTCATGAGAGGGCAGTATTTTCAATATTCCCCTATATTTTAATTATTATTTATTAACATTATTTTTAAATAGGAGATCATCCGTAATCTTGCCTAGGGTGGAAAAAAGTCTGAAAAATTACCCTAGGGCCAGCGTGTTTTTTTTTTTTTTTTGTCTAACTTTATTAAAACACTAACTTATCCATCCCTAACAGTCTTGTGACTTATGTATTCAAGCCAGCCCAAGCATTAAATTAGTGTGCATACATTGCTATTGGTTCCCACTTAAAAGATAGAATAGTAATTTACATCAAATACTGTGTTTTTGAATAATATACTAAAATGTATTATACTGTATATATTATAGATTTAATATATTTTACTGTAGTATTACACTGTATATATTGTAGTTTTTATAATGTGTGTATATGTGCACACACATATCATTTAAAAGAATACTTGCTGTATGTTTACAACTTCTCTATTCTCATTCACAGGAAGACAGGATTTGGATGGAGTCTGAAATCTGAAATGTTGATGACTTTTTTCCTTTTTTGTGAGTAAGGTGATTAATAATGTCTGCAAAACAAAAATACAACACTCTCTGGAAAAGAGTGAAAAGAGATCAGCAGAAATTGGATTTGTTGCATTTAGATGACATGGAGATACACACCAGCTCAACTAGTCTGGAAAGCTTTAGTGAGGAACTTCAAGCACAGCCCACTAAAGAATTCCAGCATGAATCTGAGTGTGATGTTAATATGCAGGGGGCTCATGCAAGTTTAAATTCGAATTCTGATTCGAATTCTGATAATGCAGACTCAAATGACAGCCATTCTTTAGGAGTTAAACTTGCAGAGTGGGCCAATGAATTTCAGGTCAAGCATAATGCAGTGGATGGCCTTCTTAAAATTCTTGGTGAGCATCACCCAGAACTTCCAAGAACTGCTAGGACTTTACTTGGAACATGTGAAAATGTCAACTTAGACATGAAATCTGGGATGCAATATTTCTACTTTGGATGCAAAGAACAGCTGTGTAAACATCTACATTTTTACCCCACTGATGTTGTCACTCAGTTAGACTGTCTGGACATTTCTTTAAATATTGATGGCTTGCCTCTATTCAAAAGTAGCAGTCAGTCACTGTGGCCAGTTTTGTGTAAAATTAATTTGGCTCCTTCCACGGTCTTTCCTCTTGCTCTCTGTTTAGGTGTCTCAAAACCTACAGATCTTAATTTTTTGACAGATGTTGTACATGACCTCAGGGACATTTTAATGAATGGACTAGAGACTGACAGGGGTAACTTATCAGTTACTGTATCAGTTGTGACGCACCGGCAAAAGCTCTTGTCAAGTGCACAAAGCAGTTTTCGGGTTATTTTGGATGTGATAAATGCACACAGAAAGGCTTCTGGAATGGTAAGCGAGTTATATACCCAGAGACAAATGTTTTCCTGAGAACAGATGCATCTTTCCGTGAGCAGGTTCAGGAGGAGCACCACCGGTCATCTGAGGTGTCTCCTTTTTGCATGCTTCCAATAAACATGATTCAACAATTCCCTGCAGATTACATGCATCAGTGCTGTCTTGGAGTGATGCGAAAGCTAATTGTTTTGTGGTTGCGTGGAACACTTAGAACCAGATTGTCTTCTGGTCAGGTGAAAGTGATAAGTTCCA